TTTTTTTTTTTTTTTTTTGGGGGGGGGGGGGGCACGCGGGTGCTGAACGGCACGCTGTCTTACTCGTGCGTTCGCATGGCATCGCAAAAGCTTGTTTATCATCTTTCACAGACTTTTCTTAAGTGTGAGTGGTGCCAGCAACCATGAATTTAAGCCCTTGGATTTTGGGTGGAAGGTGCTGACTTGTGAGGATAGGTTTCGAAAGGTAGGGATGATTTCAGGAGATTTCGAGGAAAGTTCCATTATTAGGTGGAGCTGTTTAATGACTGGGGGAAGTCATTATCCCAACACCCCAAACCTTAAAACCCTGAACCCTAAGCCTTAAAATGCACTAGAATCGGCCGAAATCCGAAAGCCTAGGCAGAAAAGACCAACATGTTCAACGCGAGAAGTCAGAGCCAAGCTCTCAGAGGAGGGAGGTCCTGGGCCAGTGAGTATGCTTGTGTGTGTGTGTGTTAGGTTTTCCTCAGGTCTTTCCAGGAGTGCTGTTTGTCAGGTTTTTCTCTCTGGATTTTTGAAGGGTTTTATCAGGCTTGTTACAGGGTTCTATATAGGGCCCATAGGGGTCTGAAGAAGACTACCCCTTAGTCCCGCGTATCTGAGGGGGGGTTGCAGTCATGAGATGATGTAGGGCCCGGATGATATGCTGCTCTGCAATGGACATCATGTTTCGGACCGGATTGCCTAGAGTTTAGGATGCATTGAATAACAGTTTATGAAATTTAGAACGGTCCACTATTCTAGGTTTTGGGGGTGTAGCTGTAAGGGTATTCGTAAATATCAAGGCGCTTTTAAGAGCTACTTTCATGTAGCTCTTGCGCCAAGACCCGAATCTGGCGACTTGGGGACGTCCGTGACAGTGAGCCTTGTATGGAAACACGTCGAAATAAGACCGCATCCAGCCCATAAGCCCCGAGCTCGACATCCGTATTATTATTATTATTAATATTCTCATTATTATTATCATTATGATTATTATCATTATCATTATGCCTAAATCCTAAACCGGCAATTACACCCTAAACCTTCTGCCCTGTAGCAATCGGCGTTTCCTGTGTCCAACCACCGATTTCTCAGGCCAGGGCGATCCTAGCTCCCGGCGACCATCGAGGTCGAGGGTTCTAAAAGCTTTAGGAGGGACCCTGCTATATAAGGGGTATATAAGGACTATACAATGGTTATTTAAGGATTAAGGGTCCCTATTAGGGGTCCTTCCTTAAGTCCTTGAAAGGGTGGGACGGGCAGGCTCTCAGAAGGTTTGGGCGAATAAGGCTTACGAGCAGGGTTGTTTCGTAAGGGTTACTCTAAGGGCCGTAGATCCCCTCCACGCACTCAGAGCAACAACCTTTGCTGTAAACCCTCTGGCCCTAAGAAGGCCTGAAAAGCCTTATACCCTAATCCCTAAAACCTCTAAACCCTATGTAAGCCCTATCAACCCTATATAAGCCCTATACACCCTATAAGCCCTATATAAGCCCTATAAACCCTATATAAGCCTTATATAAATCCTATATAAGCCTTATAAACATCCTATACACCCTATGGAGCCCTGGACCCTGAGACCCGGACAGGCCGATGCCACAGCCCGCACCGGCGCCGGGGCCTCACTGACGCCCGGAAGGAAGCGGGTCCGTGACGAAGCGGCCTACTCTAAACGAGTAGGGCGGCCTTAATCCCAAGATGTAGGCCGGAGACGGAGAGCGATGTCGCAGACTTATGCCAGAACTCTCCGGAGTTTTCAGGGTTCTAAAGGAGCATACGCTCGTGCTGAAGCCGGCAGCCCCGGAGGCCAAATACCTGCCCAATACTTCATGAGCCGAAAGCCACCGAATTCCCGACACCTAAACAGCTGAAGCCCCGTCCCCCCAGACAAGACCCAAGATGTCGAACCTAATTCGTCGCGTGCGGCCGTGATGGCCAAGGCCTGCAGCCGTGGCGCCACAAGGCTGGAGTGCACTCTGCCACTGCTGGTCGCGTCCCTTGTCCTCCCCGTCGTCATCCTGCTGCTTGCTGTCATCACTGTTGGTATTCTCGACACTATAGTTCTGCCGGCAACACATATTATATTATTATATATGCATGTATGTATGCATGCATGCATGCATGCATGCATGCATGCATGCATGCATGGCTGGATGGATGGATGGATGGATGGATGTGTGTGTGCGTCTGCGTCTGCGTCTGCGTCTGCGTCTGCGTCTGCGTCTGCGTCTGCGTCTGCGTCTGCGTGTGCGCGCGCGTGTGTGTGTGTGTGTGTGTGTGTGTGTGGGTGTGTGGGTGTGTGTGTGTGTGTGCGTATGTAGGTATGTAGGTACGTACGCATGCATGTATGTATGTATGTGTGCATATGTGTGCATGTGTGTAGGTATGTACGCATGTATGTATGTATGTATGTATGTATGTATGTATGTATGTATGGAAGGATGTATGTGTGTATGTAACTGTATGTATGTCTGTATGGATGTATGTGTGTATGCAGGCATTCATGTATGTATGTGTGTGTATGTATGGATGTACATATGTATGCATCTGAGGCTCTTTGGTATCTATGTATCTATGCATGTATGTATGTGCATGCCCATAGTATTCGTGTGATGCTGCAGCCAACAAGACATACTACCACTATCGTCCAGGACTATTGCTACGGTGCTTGTAACTGCCACTGAATATCATTCATGTTCGGTCCTTGCTGCCACTGTCTTCCGAAAAATGCAACGGATTACTGGACAACAATCATGCTTCTATTTTCATCAACAGCCATTGCTTGCGCGCGTCACCAACATGAGTACCCACATCGGGAATTGTTGTGTTTATCGTCGGGTTTCGATGGTCCCCACCATTCCTCGGCGCAGGCGCGCCGAGGCCGAGCATAACGGTGGGAGCTGGCCTGGTTCTCTGAAGGTGGAGGAAGGAATGTACAAGGCTGAATTATGGAATTATGGTCTAGAGATCTAGGGTGCCGTAGGGGTTGTTGGCTTGGAATGCTTTGCTGTGAGGTGCGGCTTGATGCCTGTGTAGATCGCCGAAAAAAGTCCGGAGATCTTGACAAGGTTGTGTGTTTGCCGTGTGTTTGCAGAGGGCGGGGCTTGTGGTTGAACGACTGATCAATTTGGGGAATTCTGCCAACTCCCCGACCCGAAACCGAGACTTCGGAGCGGCTGCACTTCCTGTACCCGTCTACTTCTTGGTTTCTTGTCTTTCCATGGGCCTCATCGGGCACCTTTCCGAGTAGACGCAAGTCCTGCCATCGTCAGATTGAGAAGGGCTGGACACCTTATGCCACGGCACCGAAAGGCCAGAATCCGCACAAATCATATCTGTATGCCCTGCGCCCGGAACCCGAGGCCTCAATGGCTACGTCGGGGCCTCAGGAGGTCGGAGTGGCGAGCATTGCAAGGACGGGAGAGGAACCGAATGGATCACGAGTCCGGCTCTCTTATCTGTAAAGGAAGGCAAGTGTATGTACGCATACACTGTAGTGAGCATTGTAATGCCAACCCGACAGGCTGTAAAGTGCGGTAGAGTTGTTGTTCCGGCATGTGGCCTGGATGGAAGTGCGGATATTTGGGCCAGCATTCAACTGCCGGAGCGGAGCGAATAGATTGCAAGCCCCGCTTTGTTCTAGGATCTGGCAAGCAAAATATGTGTGCTACGCGCAAAGTTTAATTGGCTTACAGGTGCGAATAATCTACCTGTTCCGATCTCTATTCCAGCTTGGCTACAGGTGCTGTATTTGTGTTTGTGGCTTCCAGAGTTTTGTTGTCAGATTTAGCGGGTTTGCCTCGCTTTTCAACGTGCTGGTGACAGGGAGTATGCCTGGCCTGCGGTTCAGCAGCCTTCGTCCTCCGCCCTATAATCCACAACGCCCTAGATCCGAAAACAGTTCCAAAATCGTGACCTGGAGCCTACGCATACGCTGCCCCCCTGTTCACCCTTTCAACCAAACGCTGGACAGTGGTGTTGAAGAAGTATGTAGCTCTGAGGATCCTGCGAGGGGCTTCTCCTTCGCACCGAACAGCCGTAGCACCCTCCCTGTGTGCAGCCGGCTTGCTTTCTTGAGCCAATGTTGCAATTGGGGGGTGTGATGACGATACGGTGATCATCATGGAATTCGGAATCGCGCAGTGGTGGTGAGAATGATGACGCCGATAATGGCAGCCGTTTGGTGACACTTGGAGGGTGATGCTGCGGGTGGTCGGGATGAAGAGGATAGTTGACATGATCGTCTTAGCATGGATGATGACGGAGATACTGCTGAGGCTGCGAGCGCTGGTAGCGGATGACGATGATGGTTGAAGCCTTGTCACGCATGCACGCTCTTGATAATCGTACAAATCGCACGATGTCGATCGCGATGGTTGTTGATTCTCTGAGCCTTTCGGTTCAGCGTTCTTTCGTTGCAGTATCTAGCCCCCATGGACTGAGACGCAGCTTCAACCCACTTCAGGGAATGTACCATTCAAGGTTCAGCCTCTGAATTCCTCTGAAAGTCTACGGCCAACATATCAGCCTTGAGGTGTTTGGGTGCGGGGCAGCTTTGGGCTTCAAGTTGCGAGTTTCGGGGTTTCATGCGGTGTCAGCTGTAGCTGTGACAGTTTCGGGGTTGAAGTTCAAAGTGGTCGGCCATCTTGAGCACGGGGCAATCTAGAGTTTGTCCAGTGGTCCGGCTGGAGCTGTCCAGAGTCCAAACCCAGTGCTCCGTACAGCGCACCCCATGAGATCAGAGCAGCCAGGACCATGAAACCGTGCGTGCAGCCGCCGGCGCCTGTCGGGGACCCCAAGCGTGTGAATCAAGCAGCTTGGGGCTTGGGGCGATTAGGACCTGAGGAAGCATTGTATATCCTTGCATTGACCGTTCCAAAATGAGTCCAGAATCGCAACGTCCAGGGAGTGTCCTCTGGTGATTTGTTCTGGAACCCCCGGCTGTTTGTCCAGTTCTCTGCGTGCTTCTCCCTAATTGCGCTCTACCTTTCAAGCTCCACCGCTTTTCCACCCCCTCCTCTCAGGCAAACATCGCGCGATCCGCGGCGGGGACACCGCAACAGTTGACGCCCGCAGGCCGTGGGCTTGGCTGCTTGCGATGACCGGTGTCATACATATGCCTTAAGACAGTACCCTGCGCAGTAACCCTTAAAGTAGCCCTTGTTGTATATCTTTCGTTTGAGCTAAAGTGGCATTAGGTTTGTCCTGACATGTCATGAGCTTCTCGAGAGTCCTGGTTATTCGCGAGGCATCGTGTAAGGTGCATTGCAGACATACTGAATGATTCCATCATAATTCGTAATCTCCTTTTCCCTGATATTCTCTGATTCAGTCGAGGCCAGGGACGCAGGGGAGGAGGGGCTGCCGGAAGTCCTATAGAGTCTTGCATGATCACGCTGCTCTTGTCATAACTTTAGCCGCAAGGTTGTCTTAGTCTTGCAGGGGCTTCGGAGATTTGGGTTCAGAGGCCCAAGGGACGTCCCACGCACCTTGATTGAGTTAGGACCCCCTTCGCCCCTTTTGGGCAATAATGCCACCGTCAACCCATTAGATGATCATTCCTAGCGTCCCCCCTACATTTCACCGATATATCACTACTACTTCCCCATAATCAACACAATTCTAGGAATAACCATTGCCCCATCTACTATCTCTAAGGTGGCATTATTACTCAAACTGGGCGAAGGGTTTCTTGTAGAATTTGGTTAAGGGTTTAGGGTTAAGGGTTGCAAACCCCAAGGTCCTACAACATGGCCCCGAGGTATTTCCCAGCCACCACAGCACCACACCCGAGCAAACTCAAAGACACACCCGCGCGAGCTCAAGCCAACAGCCCTTGCCCACCAAAATCGCACCACCTTCCCCTCAAAAACTTAAACAGGCTTTGCCAGCTTCTTCACCAACCCTTACGATAAAGAAATACAAACAGGCCCAACACGAAAAGTCACAAACGCACCAGTATCATTTGCAAAAGCTAAACGATCCAGATTTTGAGAAAGATGTTCCCAAACCTGACAAGATCAGAGAAATAAACGGCAAAGAACATTATTGTTGTAACACTTGCCGTTCTAGCTATTTGCCTCCGATGTGGTCAAGACATTTTAAAAAACCACCGCATTTGAAACCAGAAACTGCGTAGTTATGGTGTAATTATAATACATAAGCAGTTATATATTATAATCACATTAGACTTACAACCCTTAACCCTAAACCCTGAACCACATTCTATAAGAAACCCTTCGCCCAGTTTGAGTAATAATGCCACCTTAGAGATAGTAGATGGGGCAATGGTTATTCCTAGAATTGTGTTGATTATGGGGAAGTAGTAGTGATATATCGGTGAAATGTAGGGGGGGACCCTAGGAATGATCATCTAATCGGTTGACGGTGGCATTATTGCCCAAAAGGGGCGAAGGGGGTCCTAACTGATTGCTCCGCGGATACGACACATCAGCCTTTCTGAAGGACCTCCACCCAGTTTCATACGCATTCATAAGGTTGCGTGGTTCTATCTTGGTATTATAGCGCTCTTTCTTGGGCTTTGCAGCAATTGCGCACCTTCGAGGCCCGAACCAGGCGCACATCTACGGCGCAGGGTGCCCAGATTCCAGACCACGGCTTATCTAGCACAGAAGGTCGAAGTCACCCACCCAGCATACCTCCCGTGAAAAATCTGAGTGAGTCAAGCACATTTCAGGGGGTGCATGCCCGCGGTCGGTCGACGTCGCCCGCCTACAATGCAGGCCGGGCGTCTGGTGAATGACATTTCTTGAGTCAAGCAACGCCCCATCCACTCTTCTGGGTGTTCTGGTACTACAGCCGGTGTACACAATGGGATGTTTGCTATACCTCATGAAACCCTAAGCCCTAAACCCTAAATCCCATAAGTCCTAGACCCCAAATCCAAAGCTCTTCTTGCTTTCATTTGCTTTCTGATCGACCTCTCGACCCAGCAGGCGCACCCGGCTTCATCGCGACAACGATGAGGCCCCTAGAATCAGAACCAGTGTTGGTAATTGGGAGAAGGTTTAGTTCGGTTCTGTTGGGCTGTATAAGTTGGGTGTTCTGGAAGCTTTTCTGGGGTGTAGTATAGGTGGTTCTGATGAGGATGCAGCTAGTAACTTCATAGCCCCCTGGACCCCGTCACATCCACGAGTCACCACAGTTCACGGTGTGCTTTCATCGAGAAAGTTTCCTGGTGTGATTAACCAGAAGCTCCAACGACGGCTTCGAATGGTGTGTAAGCTCCAAACTGGCACGTAAGATCCCAGATTTCGGGACTGCTGTTTTGGGTGGAGGTGTCAGACGGGGTTAGGAACTGCGGCTTTGCCAAGTTCATCCAATTTATGAAGGGATCAGGAACTACCCATAGGCCCCATAGTAGTTCCCTTTTGGGATTACCCTGCAGGATTCTATATATGAACCCCAAAAAGGAACTACTTTGGGGCCTATGGGTACAGGGTGTGAGGTTCAGGCGGCTATCCCTCAGCCTCAGCTCTGAGCCGTTGCATCGCCAAGGCACCCGCAGCCAGTGATCTACCGGCGGTAGCCGGGCGAAGGAGCCCGCCGGGCGTGTGGGAGAGCAGGGGGGTTCGGTTCTCAGCTTTGGGGTTGTTTAGGGTTTAGGGTTTAGGGGTTTTGGGTTTCAGGTTTAGGGGTTTGGGCCCGGTTCAGGGCCGAGGCATTGCCTGGACCGAAATTCAGGGGGCAAGGTCTTCTGAAGCATTCAGGTCTTGCAGGAAGTACGAGCGGAGGGCACCCATACGACCCGTATGGGTGGTATGGGTGCCTTCGTGTTGGAGGGCCATAGTATTCGAGCCGTACGATGTGCGGCAGTCGAGGTATGTTTGAGTTGGCCTTGCACCCTGAACCGCTAACGCCCATAAACCGAAGGCGGCTACTTAGTAACTTCTTGTTCAGACACTGGTTCAGACACTGTAATAACTCCAAACGACCCCCAAGACCCTAAACTAAACCCCCAAACCTCTCAAGCCTAACTCAGCACAGCCTAACCCCACCCCCCTCCCCACCTAACATGTGGACCCTGTTGCCCCGAACCCCCCGAAAAGCGGTGCTTTCGCGCCAGGCGCCCTTGGCGAACCAACCGGTCTCTCTCTCGGAGTCCGAGGCTTCCAGGGTATTCAGGGCGTAGGGCTTCAAGAGGATAGGAGTGTAGTTTTTTTTTTTGGTTTCTGGATTGGGGGTTCAGGCTTTAAGGTTCTTTTTCTTCAAGGTCTGGGGTTTAGGATCTGAGGTTAGGTTGAAGGGCCCTCGGGCCAAAGCCGCAGACCTTAAGGTGGTTTTATTCGGATTCCGGTGGAAGCCCATGCAGTGCAGCGCTGTTAGTCTCACTGGCTTTAGAAGTATGGACTATAGACTATCCTGTAAAGCTACCGTTTGCTTTGGTCACGTGCTTCATCCGGCCAAGGTCCTGGGTCCGAGCAGGACCTCGAAGTGGACCCACTTCCTGGGACCTGCGATCGGCTTGACAAAGCTCAGGCGGTGCAGGGAGGTGACTGTGCCACGGCCTTCGTGGGAGCCTGTGTGAGGGCTTGCAGGTTGGATCCCGCCAGACCACAACCACTACTGCTAGAAGAGCTGACTGCCCATGCATCTTGTGTCTGACAGTGACACTCCCCTGGCCCGAGCAGAGAATGTCCAAAGGATGCGACGGCTATCACGCAGCCTTTTCAATACCCGAAACCCCGTAGCCTTCAACCCTGCCGACATCCGGCATATGGGATCCACCCTGTTGCCTCCTGGCAAGTTGCGGTTTTTGCTTCGCCGTGGCTCCCTGTCAGAAGAGTCGACCAAGAGCACCCCTAGACCAATCATCGCTCTGGCAGACACCGACACGGCTAGAGACCAGTGATGCTGCGCACCTGAGAGCGCCCAGACACGGCATGCGTTGCAGGACTAGGGAAAAGCCTGGCAAGCAAAGCATAGAAGGCAAGTCACAAGACTAACGGTGAGATGAGATCTATCAAATTCGGTCCCGTGGTCCTCAGGCGACATGACATCGGAATCCTAGACCGCCCTTGGCTGACCGAGCCTTTCTCGCCTGCGATGCCTTGTCCCTCGCATTGCAGTGGCATCCTAGGTCCTAGCACATCACAAGACAGAAGAGAAGTCTAGGCCCATCCGAAACCCAACATCCGCCGCACCCCTGTCTGACCCAGGTCCTCTGAGCAATGGAAATCTCAATACATTGTGGCAGCACGTCAACACCCTAGGACCTCCACCACGAATTATGAAAGCGGCCCTGACCCTAAGCGTTTTCGGGTCCCATCCACAAGGATCCGTTGGGCATCGCGGGGAGCGAAATTTTTAGCAGGGGGGAGTAGATCATGCCATGAGTCAGGGGAACTAAGCCGCAGGCCTTCAGCGCGAAAGCCCAAAGCCGTGGACCTTGAAGCCAGGATCCTTAAGCCGTTCATGCGCTTCATTGTACCCTGGACCGATCCGTTGCTTTTGCTCCGTTACCCTTCGTTCGTGTCTTTACCTGTCACTCGCGACACATCCCTAGTCCTTGAAAGCTTTCTGCTACTTGATCGTATTGATACTCCTGCAAGAACTCCTGGCTCCTGGGCTTCGTCGTAGACTGCGCTCGGACTCGTCCAGTGCCGTTGCCCAGCAGCCAAAAGCAGATGCTCTTCAGGTGCTGGTCCCTTGGATTCTGATAGAAGCTTGAGGGAATGTCTCTGCAGATCGGCAAGATTGTCGGCTACACTGCAGATTCACTGATGCATGACGCTCCCTACCTTGCCTGCTGCATGTCTTATGCAGCTACAACCCGCCGTAGCTGTTAGTGATGATACAGAAGCCGTCCTGGTCTGAAGCCACCGACAGCCACGATGAGGTGACAACGACGGCATGTTCCAGCTCGCTTACCTAGGGGATGCTGTGCCCTGACATGAGTCAAGCAAAATATCACAATATCGACGGCCCGAATTTCAGTGCTGGCCATGGCGCGCCGCAAGCAAAAGGCAGCCAAGGCAGCAGGGCCTGGAGGCAGTAATACGGTTGGCAAACAGAACGCTTCCATCGATGCCAGGACCTCGCCGCAAGGAAGCACTTCGCACCGCCCTTGGTTTGAGGGTTTAATATTGCTGTTGCAGTTGCTTTTGTTATTGTTATGGTTACTGTTATTGTTCTGTTTCTTGGTGATGCTGGTGCTGTCGCTGCTGCTTGTGCTGGTGGTGCTGCTGCTGGCTCCTGCTCAGTGATGGTGCTGTTGCTGGTTCTTCTTCGTCTGCTGTTGTTGTTGTGGTTGTGATTATTGTTGTGGTTGCTCTTGTGAGTCTTGCTGTTGTGCTTGTGGTTGTGGTTGTGGTTGTGGTTGTGGTTGTGGTTGTGGTTGTGGTTGTTGTTGTCGTTGTTGTTGTCGTTGTTGTTCGTTGTTGCCTTGTTGCTGTGGTGGTGGTGGTGGTGGTGGTGGTGGTGTT